CCGTAATAGACACACAAAAGAAATTCAATCATGACACTAAAGAAAACCATTAATCACAAAAGAGAGCAAGAGAAGAAAGGAAAAAGAGAACTACAAAAACCAGAAAGCAAGTGACAAAATGGCAATAAGTACATACCAATTAATAATTACTTTAAATGTAAATGGTCTGAATGCTCCATTCAAAAACAAAGGGTGACAGAATGGTTAAGAAAAAAGAACCCATTTATATGCTGCCTACAAGAAACCCACTTCAGTCCTAAAAACACACAGAATGAAAGAGAAGGGATAGAAAAAAGCTATTCGATGTGAACAGAAGTGGAAAGAAAAAAAAAAAAGCCGGGCAACAATGCTTATATCAGACAAAGAGACTTTAAAACAAAGACTATTACAAGAGACAAAGAAAGGCACAAATAATAAGAAATCAATCCAACAAGAAGATCCACAACTGTATTTATGTACATAAAGCTGGAGCACCTGAAGACATAAAGCAATTATTAACAAACATAAAGGGCAGAAACTGCAAGTAATAACAAGAACAGCAGGGGGCTTTAATACACCCTTCACCTCCATGGATCGATCATCCAGGTACAAAATCAATAAAGAAAGAGTGTAAGCAAATGACACATCCAACCAAATGGACTTAACTGACATGTATAGTATATCCTGTGCAACAACAAAGGAATACGTTCTTTTCAAGTGCACATGGAACATTTTTCAGGAAAGATCACGTTACGCCACGAAACAAGTTTCAATAAACTAAGATTGAAATCATATCAATCCTTTCCAACCAAAACAGTATAAAAATATGAATCAATTACAAGAGAAACATTGGAAAAAACATGTGAAGGCTAAACAACATGGTACTGAACAACCAGGGGGTCAATGAAGAACTCAAATGAAAATGAAAACACAACAGTCCAAAATCTTTGTGATACAGTGAAAGCAGTAATAAGAGGAAAATTTGTAGAAACACAGGCCTATCTCAAGAAAATAAACAATTTAACCTTATACATAAAGGAACTGGGGAGACACAACAACAGCAACAAAAGCCCAAAGTTAGTAGAAAGAAAGAAGTAACACACATTAGAGCAGAAATAAATGAAAGAGACTATAAAAACAATAAAGAAGATCAATGAAACCAAGAGCTCATTCTTCACAAAGAAACCAAATTAATAAACCTTTAGCCAGACTCATTGAGAAAAAAAGGACTCAAAATCAGAAATAGAAGTTACCGACACCACAGAAATACAAAGAAAGGACTAGGAGTCTATTACAAAAAATTATATGCAGGGATCTGCCCTCAGCTCAGGTCATGATCCCAGGGTTCTGGGATCAAGCCCCGCATCAGGCTCCCTGCTCAGGAGGGAATCTGCTTCTCCCTCTGTCCCTCCCCGTTTGTGTGCTCTGTCTTGTGCTCGCTCTCCCTCTCTCAAATAAAGAAAATTAAAAAAAAAAAATTATATGCCAACAACTTTGACAACTTAGAAGAAATGAATAAATCATTAGAAACATACAACCTTCCAAGACAGAATCAGGAGGAAACAGAAAATCCAAACAGACCAAGTAATTGCTAGTAACAAAACTGAACCAATTATCAAAACAGTCCCAACAAACAAGTCTAGAACTTTTGAAGCCAAATGGCTTCACATGTGAATTCTATCTAACACTTAAAGAATAGTTCATACCTATTCCTCTCAAACTACTCCAAAAAACAGAAGAAGGAAAATTTCCAAATACATTCCATGATGCCAGTATTACCCAAATTCCAAAACAAGACAAAGACACTACAAAAAAAGAAAACTGCAGGCCAATGTCTCTGATGAACATAGATGCAAAAATCCTCAACAAAACATGAGCAAACCAAATTCACCAATACACTGAAAACAATCATTCACCACGATCAAGTGGGATTTATTCCAGGGTTGCAAAGATGGTTCAATATCTAAAATCAATCAAAGTGATACACCACATTAACAAAATGAAGGACAAAAGTCCTAAAATCACCTCAACAGATTCAGAAAATGAATCTGACAAAAACCAATATCCATTCATGATAAAAACTCAACAAAGTGGGTTTAGAGGGAACATACCTCACATAATAAAGGCCATATATGACAAACGCACAGCTAACATCATACTCAATGGTGAAAAACTGAGAGCTTTTCCCCTAAGACTGAACAGGGCAAGAATGTCCACTCTTGCCACTTTTATTCAATACAACAAGGGAAGTCCCAGCACTAGCAATAAGACAAGAAATAAAAGTCATCCAAATTGGTAAGGAAGAGGTAAAACCATCACTGTTAGTGTTATGACAGGATAATACATATAGAAACCCCTAAAAACTCTACCAAAAAATGAGTAGAATGCATTTATTCAGTAAAGTTGGAGGATACAAAATTAATATACAAAAATCTCTTGCATTTCTATACACTAATAATGATAGTGATAGATAATAATAATTAAGTAGGAGAAAGGCAAGTTAAGAAAACCATCCCATTTTACAGTTGTGCCAGAAAGAATAAAATACCTAGAAACAAATTTAATCCAAAAGGTGAAAAACCTGTACTCTGAAAACTCTAAGACACTGATAAATGGAAGATGACACAAACAAATGGAAAGATATACCACACTTGTGGACTGAAAGAATACTGTTAAAGATGTCCATTCTACCCAAAGCAATTTACAGATTCGGTGCAATCCCTATCAAAATACCAACAGCAATTTTCACAGAACTACAACAAATAATCCTAAAATTTGTATAGAATCAGAAAAGACCCCAAACAGTGAAAGCATTCTTGAGAAAAAGAACAAAGCTGAAGTTATCCCAGATTTCAAGCTATAGTACAAAACTATCGTAATGAAAACCAGAGTGGTACTGGCACAAAGAGAGACACAGTTCAGTGGAACAGAACAGAGAGCCCAGAAATAAACCAGCGCTTATAGGGTCACTCTATTACAAAAGGGAAAGGAATATACAATGCGGAAAAGACAGTCTCTTCAATAAGTGGTTCTGGGAAACATGGACAGCCACATGTAAAAGAATAAAACCAAACCACTTTCTAACACCATACACAAAACAAACTCAAAATGCATTGAAGACCTAAATGTAAGACCTGAAACCATAAAACTCCTAGAAGAGAACACAGGCAGTAATTTCTCTGACATTGGCTGTAACAACACTTTTATGTCTCCTAAGGCAAGGTAAACAAAAATAAAGATAAACTATTAGGACTACACCAAAATTAAAACCTTTTGTAAAGTTAGGGAAACCATCAACAAAACAAAAACACAACCTACTGAATGAGAGAAGATATTTGCAAAGGATATATCCAATAAAGAGTTAATGTCAAACATATACAAAGAACAAACACAACGCAACATGCCAAAACACAAATTATAAATAAAACAATGGGCATAGAACCTAAATAGACATTTTTCCAAAGAAGACAAAGAAATGATGGCCAACAGACACATGAAAAGATGCTCAACATCACTAATCATCAGGGAAACAAAACCACAGTGAAATACCACCTTATGACAGAGTCAGAGTGGCTAGTATCAAAAAGACAATAAAAAAACAAGTGCTGCTGAGGATGTGTAGAAAAGGAACCCTGTAAATTGGTACAACCAATCAATGTGGAAAACAGTATGCAGATTCCTCAAAAAACTAAAAATAGAAATACCATTATGATCCAGTAATCCCACTACTGGGTATTTACCTAAAGCAAGCGAAAACACTAATTCAAAGAGAGAGATGCACACCTATGTTTATTGCATCATTATTTACAATAGCCAAGATATGAAAGCAACCTAAGTGATCACTGTTAAATGGATAAAGATGTGGTGTGTACACATACATACACACACACACACCCCAGAGTATTAGTCATAAAAATGAATGAGATCTTGTCATTTACAACATGGACAGAACCAGAGGATATTATGCTAAGTGAAATAAGCCTGACAGAGAAAGACAAATACTATACGATTTCACCAATACGTGGACTCTAAAAAGAAAAAACAAAATAAAGCAAAAACAAGCAAACAAGTAGAAACAGACCCATAAATAGAAAAAAGTGGTTATGAGAGGCAGGGCGGGGGGGGGGGGGGGTATGGATGAACCGTGGAGGGGAGTAGGACATGTAGGATTCCAGTTATAGAATGTATAAATCACAAAAATAAAAGGTACAGTATACTGTTAACAGCCCTGGACAGCAACAGATGCTAACTGCATTTGTGAACACAGCATAATGTGTATAGTTCAATCACTATGTTGTACACCTGAAACTAATGTAACATTGTGTCAACTGTACAGCATTATAAAAAAGAAATCAATGAAGTATAATCTTTTCAACAAAAGGTTTTGAACCGGATTTTCATGTGGAAAAAAGTGAAACTTGATCTTTATACTATGCACAAAAATTAACAAAAAATACAGATCTAAATGTTAAATAAAATTATGAAAATGGTTAAAGACTACTTATAGAGAACATAAGAAACACAAATTATAAAAAAAAAATTTCTCAGGGCACCTGAGTGGCTCAGTTGTTAAGCGTCTGCCTTCGGCTCAGGTCATGATCCCAGGGTCCTGGGATCAAGCCCCACATCAGGCTCCCTGCTCAGCGGGAAGCCTGCTTCTCCCTCTCCCACTCCCCCTGCTTGTGTCCCCTCTCTCGCTGTGTCTCTGTCAAATAAATAAAATCTTTAAAAAAGAAAAAGAAAAAAGGGGTAGGCTTACTGTAAAAGAACATGAGTGAGCATTCTGGGAATATGGAGATGGTTTATATTCTGATAGTAGTGGTTATATGTGTATATAAATTTGTCAAAATACACTTAACTGTCTACGGCCACCCTGAGTGCACCCGATCTCATCTGATCTCAGAAAATACACTTAACTTAGCATTAATACATATTGTTATATGAAAATTATACTAGGATATGTGTTTAATCACAAAAATTTAAGAAGCATGTTTTCATATTAATTCTTCAGGGGAGCTTACCTTATTGAGTGCAACAATGAAGGGACATTTTTTAGATTTCAGAAGGTTAATAGATTCAATTGTCTGGGGCTCCAAACCATGCATAATATCAACGACTAAAATGGCAATATCACAAAGAGAGCTTCCTCTGTTTCTCAGATTACTGTTGAAAAGAGGGAAAAGATGCATAAATAGAAATCTTGAAATTACTCTTTTAAAGAAACAAATGTTTCTTTGTAAAACCTAAACGAAAAAAACAAAATGAAGCACATGCATTAAAAATTTAAGTGCCATTAGCCCTTAACTTGCCAAATGCTTATCTGACATAGTGAACTGACATCAGCTGGAATAAGTTAGTTCCAGAAGTTACTCCAGTATTTCTGCAAATTTTATTGGCCAAGTTTTTTGCACTAAGGAATACAGCTAAGAGGCAACAGAATAAATTCCACGTATAATGGGTTTCACAGGAGATAGACCAAGTATGTATTAGGATTTGGTCTTTCAAAGTAGGAAAGATCTCTATAAAAAACAGGTATACTTGGGGCGCCTGGGTGGCTCCGTCATTAAGCGTCTGCTTTCGGCTCAGGTCATGATCCCAGGGTCCTGGGATTGAGCCCCACGTCGGGCTCCCTGCTCAGCAGGGAGCCTGCTTCTCCCTCTCCCACTCCCCCTGCTTGTGTTCCCTTTCTTGCTGTCTCTCTGTCAAATAAAATCTTTAAAACAAAAACAAAAACAAAAAAACAAGTATCCAAATAAATTACTACTTATTCAGTAGGCACAGATGATGATTGGTAGCTACAGGGACTACAGATCTTAATATACTACCTCAATGTTGCCTAATCAGACTTTCCCACTCACTGAACTTTTAGATTTAATGGTTTTAGTAGTTTGTTTGATGCCAAATAACACAAGTTGCTCTTACCTGAAAGACTCATGCCCAGGAGTATCAATAATGAGCATTCCTGGAATTCGTACGTTCTCTCTATCAAACTAGAAAAGGTGGGGAAAAGTAGAGAGCTTAAGAAAGTCAAAGCAATGGAAGTTTCTTTATAAAAACAATTATTCAGCCAAGAAAACTTAAAAACATCACCACTTTCTTTTCTAAATAAATGGTTTTACTACAGTCAGTGAATCAACCAGCAAAGCACAATAGTCAATATTTTCATTAATCAAAAGGAGTTTGCAGGGGGAATGAAATGAGAAAATATTCTCTTTGTTAAGGTCATAAAACACGGTGTACTCTAATTCTGAGCAGATTATCAATAAGTAACAAATGACAACAGTCGTCTGAAAGTGATTATCTATAAAAAGGTAACATGCAAGAAGAGGTTCTGACAACTTGAAAAATGTATCTGGTCCAACTTTAAAGCCAATTTTAAACTTTGAAAAAATATCCTAAAGTGTGTTTTAAAGAAAATTTACTACACCAACCTAAAATATTAAAGAAAGACTGCTTTATTTAAATAACATCATAAACACTTGACTTTCTGGACAAAAGTTCTTTAATGAATGGAAAAAAATTACAGCATGCCTGATACGGACATTCTCTTTTACCCTAAAGAGTGGACTGACCAACAAATCTCTCACATACACGATTTCTTTTACTTGCTTATCTATACTTTCTGTTAATCTTCAAGTGATTTTTCAAAATCTTATCTCCTGATCTAGGTCAAAATGATTCAAATGTAAAACATCTCATATTTGCATTCTGACGATCTTAAATCAACATTCACTGAGCACCATAATTATTTCCACTTCAGTGTCTGGAATACAAGCAATTATAATTGTCATATAAAAGTTATCCTGAAAACTTTAATACAGACCTAATAAAAATCATGCTCTTTAACTGTGTTGTAAAGTAACACCAGATTTCAAGTTCTAGCAACTAGTAGAATTAGCTATTATAAATCCTCAATGACTAACACATAGAAATATCAGATAAATTACAACCAAGATAAATTTTAAATTATAAATTTGAAAAACTGTAATTTAAGAAAACTGTCCTAAAATAAATATTTTAAATTACATACTCAAAAAGAACTGAAAAATTTCCACATAACTGGAAAACTGACCCAGAACAATCCAACCCCAAAATGCAAAAAGGCCACATTACTTATAAAAGGATGAAAACCAGCTTATGATCAAACCTGAAAGGCAATATTTTATGTGAGAAGAAACGCAAGTAAGCTTTAAGATATTTAAGGAAAGAAAATGTCAATCAAGGATTTTATATGTAGCCAACTAACTTTCCAGGGTGAAGGCCACAAAGTAGGTATGCAATATTCAAAAACTCAGAGTATTACTCCCCTTACTCCTTCCTTAGGAATCTACCAGAAAACAAGCTTCATAAAACACAATTTCAACCAAACCACCCCCCTCCAACCACCACCACCAATTGGAGACAAACCCATAGACCCTTTCGATATATAAAACTAAGACCAAAGAAAGAATAAAGGGAGATACTAGCATATAATAATTTGTGCTCTGTGTGTCAGTTATCAGTTTTGTTACTCCTTAGTTCCAAATTTACCTTTTTTACCTGCTCTGTGATAATGGAACTAGGGAATTTTTACAAGGCTCAGTTCCAAAACTGGAGCACCGTATGTATAAGATGAGCCTAAAACATCCTGCTACATCAGACTCAAGGATGCAACCAAAGACTACTAAAACTGAATCAAAAAGACTCAGGAGTCAATCACTGGATGAAAATGAGACTATATCACCACAAGAATAAATGAATTAAATCACAGTAAATATGTTAATTCATGAGTTTATAGTAAAACAAAACCAAACCACTCTTTATTAACATGGATAAAGGGCTCGGAATAACAACATTTTGCAACCTCTAACACATCAAAAGGTAGAGATTACTTTAAAAATTCCTTGTGAGTAGAAGAGTGTTTCGATTGGAAAGGGACCTAACAGAGGTCTTCTTGAGGTAAGGGCCAAGGTTCTATCTCCTAACACAGGCGACACAAAAGTATTTGCTTTATAATGATTCATTAAGCTTTACCTTAATCTCATGTGATTTTATTTATTTTGAATAAACTGAATATCTCCAACGCAGAAAGTATTAGGGAGATAAAGAAAATACAATCACAATGTGATTGAAGGAAAAGAGGGTGGGGGAGGAAACAGTTTTTCAACACGGAAATCTACAGGAAAAGTGTTAAAACATGCAGGGGAACAATATACTCTAACTTCAAAATAGCATTTGCCTTTGGGAGCAAGAGGAAAGGAAATGAAAAATGAGGGCTCCTATAACATCTAATGTTTTCCTTAAAAAAAAAAAAAAACTCAAGTAAAATTGAACAAAATGGCACAAGTATTAATTATGAATAGTGAGCATATGGATCTTTATACTATTCTTTTTTTCTGTACCTGAAATAATTTATACCTTAATTTCTGTTAGAGATTAAAACACCCCAAATACAGCGTACTTACATTTTTAATCATCTTAGTCTGTTCATTAATAGCTTCCAGGGGAACATTGGTGGCCCCAATTTGTTGCGTAATGCCGCCTGCTTCACCATCTTGTACATGTGTGTGACGAAGCTGCGATGAGACAGCAGATTCAGATTTGTATTTTGAAATATAAAAAGAAGAAACAGCAGTAAGAAAGTAGCAACCTATTTAATGTAACAGAACTGCCTATCTGTGCTTTGGTTTCTATTAGCTTTTTATAAGGTATCATTCACTTACTTAAAAAGTTATATGCTAACAATATTTTCTTACTTTATCTAGAATTTTTGTCTTCCCTGTGTCCACATGTCCAAGTACACAAATAACAGGAGCTCTTAGCTTTTCTGTATTTACATTTTTACTATGTTCAAGTCGCCGTTTCTAGGAATAAATAAAAAAAAAAATCACAAAATTATTATTTCAAACCCTATCATTACTGTCCTTTAAATTATGTTGCCTTGGCAAGAGAATGCCACAACCATCATCCAAGTTTTTTGTTAACTTAACTATACGTAATTGCATTTTACAACATAACCTTTACATTCTAATTCCCATTACAGTACCTTTGAACAAAGAGAAACCTGTTAAAATAAATTTCAGGGCAACAATGTTAAATATGAGTAAAAATAGTGTGAAGTTTTGGCTTCAACTTTCTGAGCACTTTTGTACATTGCTTATTTAAAAGAAAAGTGATCTTGTATTCCATTCAGTACATATACAATACATCGTCTAGCTTATGTGAGGGTTTTTATAAAAGGAGATATACTCTTGCATTCAAACAATTTCATTAGAACTTCAAAACTATAAATTTTTTTTTTTTAAGATTTTATTTAATTATTTGAGAGAGAGAGAGAAAGAGTGCCCGCGAGTGCACAAGCAGGGGGAAATGGCAGGCAGAGCAGGCAGAGGGAGAAGCAGGCTCCCCACTGAGCAGGGAGCCTGATGAGGGACTTGATCCCCAGACCCTGGGATCATGACCTGAGCTGAAGGCAGGCACTTAACCAACTGAGCCACGCAGGCGTCCCAAAACTATAAAATATTTTAAAGCAATATATTTTTAAACTTTATCCAGTGTACAAACACTATAAAACCTTTCAATTGAGAGACGGTTTATTTAATCCCCGGCCTAAGATATCCAATGACATTTCCTACCTTCTTAAGATACCACTCATTAGGCATGACAAGCATGTCCTTGCATCACAATGCATTTCTCTTGTAGCATTTATCTAGATACTTCAGCTTTCTAAGAACCAAACAAAAACATGCCAGCAGCAATTTGAAATGCCAACTTTTCAAGTACAGTAAAGCTGGCATTCAAATGAGATAAGACTTTCATCAAAATTCTGAAGTAATTTCCAAAACATCTTCCATCTAAAAACCATTTTTGTAAAATTTCTTTACTTTCATTTCTACCACTAGACACTGGATCTTTCTACAGAAAATGGAATGAAAAAACATTTTGGAAGGTCAAAAGTCAGATGTGAATATTTACTAACAAGGAGTAGTACACAAGAGCTTTATATTCTATGACTCAAATGCAAGCATCATGACCTTAGCTAGGATTTGATTATGGTTGAAAATGGCCTTTTTCTCTCACACTTGGTGTAGCATTAAAATTTTCTGGAGGGCAATGCAGTATAGACTTTAACTCAGAAGTTCTACCTGTAAGTATCTGTCCTGAAGCAATGACATAAGCATTCAGAAATGCATGTGTACAGCAGTGTTCGTTCACTGCAGTACTGTAACAGCAAAAATTAGTAACCACTTAATCATCTGTAGCTGGGATTTCTTAATGAATATTTCCTCAATCCCAGGGCTGAAAACTATCTGGTTGCATAGAATCGCTTAGATACCCCTATCCACAATGGAGATTCTTACTGAGGAAGTCTGGTATGGATTTTAGAAAATTATACGTAGCAAGGTTTTGGAACCATGAAATTTGTTATGGACTTAATTTTATCTCTCCCAAATTCATACACTGAATCCCTAACTCCCAATGTGACTGTATTTGGAGATAGGGCCTTTGAGGAGGTAATTAAAGTTAAATGGGTAGGGCCCCAATCCAATAGGACAGATGTCCTTACAAGAGGAGAAATAAGAAAAACCTCTCTCTGGGCATGCATGGAGTAAAGGCCATATGAAGACTCAGTGAGAAAGCAGCCATCTGCCACCAAGAAGAGAGCTCTCACCAGGAAACAACCCTGCTGACGCTTTCATCTTGAACTTTTAGCCTCAATAGCTATCAGAAAATAAATCTCTATTGTTTAAGGCACTCAGTCTGAGGAGATCAAAAAGATAAAAAACCTTTCACTAGTTTGACCAGGGGCGGGGAGGGGGGGAGGGGCCACAGATCACCAAAATTAGAATCAAAAGAGACGCCACTACTAACCTTACAGAAATGTAAAGGATTATAAAAGGATACCAAAGCTCTGAGAAACAAACTGAAGATTTTCGAGGGGAGGAGGAGGGAGATGGGTTAGCCCGGTAATGGGTATTAAGGAGGGCACATATTGCATGGAGCACTGGGTGTTATATGCAAACAATGAATTATGGAACACTACATCAAAAACTAATGATGTACTGTATGGTGACTAACATAAAATAATAAAATAAAAAAAAAGATACCATAAACTTTATACTCACAACTTAGATGAAACACAATAGGTTAGAAAGACAAAAATTACTGACAATGACTCAAGATGAAAAAGAAAATATGACAAAGAGATAACAATATAACAAGTAAAGAAACTGTATTAGAAATTTATAAGTATTCGAAAGACAAAAGCTTTGTTATTTTGCCAAACACTTAAAACTGGAAAAACAATCTTTTAAAACCTCTTGCAGAAAAAAAGAGGAGGAAGGAACACTTCGTGACTTAACCTAGGAAGCTAATTTTAAACTGACACCAAAGCCAGACAAACAAAAGAAAGTTACTGATCAATATCCTCATGGGTATAGATCACAAAAACCTCAACAAAATATTACAAACCAAATCTAGTAACATATAAAGAGGATTATACCAGGATCAACTGGGATTTATTCTAGGAATGCAAGGTTGGGCTTAACATTTGAATACCAATACATCATACATTAATACAAAAAAGAAAAAAGAATTTCAATACACCTAGAAAAGGCACCCATTTCCATTCATGATATGAACTTTCAACAAACTGAAAATGATAAAAGGCACTACCATTAACACCACAGTTAAAGGTGAAAATCTGAATGCTTTCCCCACAAAGATTGAAAACAAGGCAAGTACGTCTGCTCTTACCACTTCTACTCAATAATGTACTGTTCTAGCCAGGGAAATCAGGCAAAAAAAAAGAAATGAGCAGCAATGAGATTGGAAAGTAAGAATTAAAACTGTCTTTGATAGAGGACGTAACAGTGATTATAAGAAATTCTAAGGAATCCATAAAAAATTATTAGAAAAATATTTCAATATAGTTAAAGGATATGAGATCTATAAAACTCAATTGTATTTCTTTATACTAGAAATGAAAAAATTTTTTAAATTTGTGAACCCATTTTCAATAGCATCAAAAACAATAAAATACCTAGTAATAAATTTAACAAAAGAATTACAAATCTTAAACTGAAAACTATGAGACACTACTGGAAGAAACTGTAGAAGATCCAAATGAATGGAGAATCAGCCCATTTCATAGACTGGAAGATTCAATATTATTAAAATAAATGATAATTCTCCCTAAAGTTGATCTACAGATTCAACACAATCTCCATCTAAATCTGAGCAAGTTTTTTGCAGAAATTGACAAGGTGACCATAAAATTTATATGGAAAAGCAAGTGACCTAGAATAGCCAAAACAAACTTGAAAAAGAGTAACAACACTGTAGAACTTATATTTGCCTACCTCAAAACCTATTATAAAGCTATAGTAATGAAAACAGTGTGGTACTGGCATAAGAACAGATAATACAGATGATGAAACAGAACGGAAAGTCTGAGATCAGATCAGAGATAGAGCCAAAGATACAGGAAACTAAAGGTAGAAATTTAGGAAAAAAATTAGGACAAAATATTCATGACCTTGGGTCAGACAATGATTTCTTTAATACAACACTAGAAGCGTGCTCTATAAAAGCAAGTTTTGATAAAATGGATGTTAACAAAATTAAAAATTTATTCACTTCAAAAGAAACTTAAAATGAAAAGAACTCTCACAACTCAATAAAAAGACAAATTACAAAATTTAAAAATCGATGAAAATTTGAATAGATGTTTCACCAATGAAGATACAAGAATGGCCAAGAAGCACATTGAGAAATGCTCAACATCACAGAAATGCAAATCAAAATCACAGTAAGATATACTATTTCATATCCACTAGAATGACTATAATTGAAAAGACAGATGTTAACAAGTATTAGTGAAGATGCAGAGAAACTACTAAAACCCTCAACTGGTGGAAATCTATAATTGTACCACTCTGGAAAATAGTTTAGCACTTTCTAAAAAAGTTACACAAAAATTTACCATATGATCCAGCAATCTCACTCTTAGGAATATATAAAAAAAAAAAACGAAAACACATTTCCATACAAAAGATTATATGCAAATGTATATAGTAGTACCATTTACAATAGCCAAAAATGGAAACAACTCAAATATCCTCTAATTAGTGATGAAATAATAAAATATGGTATACTTATAGAACACTATTTGGCAATAAAAATGAACAAAATTCTGATAGAGCTATAACCAGAGTAAGTGAAATAAGATAGACATAAAAGACCACATAATATATGACTGAAATTTATAGCAGTCCCCTCCTTATCCAGGAGGTAATACATTCCAAGACCATCAGTGGATGCCTGAAAATGCAGACAGTACAAAACGCTACATATACTATGCTTTCTCCTATACATATCTAAAATAAATTTAGGGGTGCCTGGGTGTCTCAGTCGGTTAAGCATCCGACTCTTGATTTCAGTTCAGATCATGATCTCAGGGTTGTGAGATCAAGCCCTGCAGCGGACTCTGTGCTGGGCATGGAACCTGCTTAAGATTCTCTCTCTCCCTCTACCTCTACCCCACCCTCCTAAAAAAAAAAAAGTTAAATTGATAAATTAGGCACAGTGAGAGATTAACAATAACTAGTAATAAAAAAGAACAATGATAAGAATATACTGCAGAAAAGTTATGTGAGGGGCGCCTGGGTGGCTCAGTCGTTAAGAGCCTGCCTTTGACTCAGGTCATGATCCCAGGGTCCTGGGATCTAGCCCTGCATGGGGCTCCCTGCTCAGCAGGAAGCCTGCTTCTCCCTCTCCCACTCCCCCTGCTTGTGTTCCCTCTCTCACTATGTCTCTCTCTGTCAAATAAATAAATACAATCTTTAAAAAAAAAAAAAGCTATGTGAATGTGATCTCAAAGTATCTTATTGTACTGTACTCACCATTCTTCTTGTGATGATGTGAGATTATAAAATGCCTATGTAATGAGATGAAGTTAGTGAGTAATATAGTGTTAGGCTACAACTGACCTTCTGACAATACAAGAGAAGGAGGATCATCAGCTTCCAGACTGCAGTTGACCATAGGTAGCTGAAACCATGGAAAGCAGAACTGTGGATGGGTGGACTGGGAGAGTGGGGCTAGGAACAGGGAATGACTACAAATTGGGACAAGAAATCTTTTTGAGGTGATGAAAATAAAGTTGAGTTGTGATAACAGATGCACAACTCTACAAACTTACAAAATATCACTGAATTGTACACTTAGAACGCATCAATTCATTAGTACCTAAATCATATCCCAACAAAGCTGCTTAAAAATTTGCTGGGTGAAGAGGTCCAAAGCATACTGTTATGTGGAAAAAAAGAAAATATTGGGAAGCACGGGTGGGCTCAGTCAGTTAAGCGTCTGCCTTCAGTTCAGTTCATGATCCCAAGGTCCTAGGACTGAGTCCCCCAATAGGCTCCTTGCTCAGCGGGGAGCCTCCTTCTCCCTCTGCCTGCCGCTCCCCCTGCTTGTGCTCTCCCTTCTCTAATAAATAAGTAAATAAAATCCTTAAAATATATATATATCTACAAAATTTATTATCTAACTTAGTTTTAATTAAACATTTTAAAAAACTTGAAGCTCATGTACAGAACTATAACACAAGTCTGGGAAGTGAGATAATGGAGAAACTTCTTTCTGCATTATATCCATTGTTTTTATTTTTTTTATAAATATTTTTATTTATTTATTTGACAGAGAGAGATAGTGAGAGCAGGAACACAAGCAGGGGGAGTGGGGGAGGGAGAAGCAGGTTTCCTGCTGGGCAGGGAGCCCGATACGGGGCTTGATCCCAGGACCCTGGGATCATGACCTGAGCCAAAGGCAGATGCTCGAAGACTGAGCCACCCAGGTGCACCAATACCCCTTGTTTTTAAATCTTCAAACACATCACAAATGGGTAGAGAATAAGGGAGTTGGCTTGATTAGGTGCTGTGGGAAGCAGCAGTTACAACAGGGAAGAAGGGAGGGGAATGCCACTGGTATCTAGTGGGTGGAGGGCAAGGATGCTGCTTAACATCCTAAATGAAGAGGACTGTCCCACAACATAATTATATGGCCCAAAGATATCAATAGTGGCAGGGGTGAGAAATCCCAACTTACAACAATAGATTTTCTTAGTCCTTCAGAAATTCAGAAAATGTATCCCTTTAATAGACTTTACAGAAGGATTAGGCAAACATTGATATTTAAAAATACATAGGTTATTTAAAAAAAATCAATTAAAAAACTGAAAATTAGAATTCTAAATGAAAATATTTTTAAAAAAAAGAAAGCTAAAATCGTTTATAGCTTTGAAATACTTTAACATCCTTAAGCAAACCAGTTTTTAGTATATTATTTATACTAAGCTGACATAATTAAAGAAAACTCTCAAGTCTATTGCATTAAGTAGGAAAAATACAGTAAGCATGCTAGGTATGTACACTTTGCTAAATAGAAAGATGCCTCGGGGGCGCCTCAGTGGCTCAGTCGTTAAGCATCTGCCTTTGGCTCAGGTCATGATCCCAGGGTCGTGGGACCAAGCCCCACGTTGGGCTTCCTGCTCAGCGGGGAGCCTGCTTCTCCCTCTCCCACTCCCCCCTTACTTGTGTTCCCTCTCGCTATCTCTGTCAAAAAATAAATGAAATAAAATCTTTAAAAAAAGATGCCTCATTAACCCACCAGATTTCAATAACTAGAGTCATCAGATGCCTCACAGTGACTAACCTAAAATACACAAGGCAAACACCAGTTTAACCCTTTAGGACTACAGGGTATATGCTTAGAGTATCTCTGCATACCCTTAAACAAACATTTAAAGAGCACATCAAAATTTGGAGAAAACAAACAAAAACAATAAAGCAGTATACCATTCTGACTTAGATGAGGGAGTAAGGTGCTTAGGTTAGATCAATGTCAAAGACCCAATGTCCAACCCAAGGTCATGAATATTTTGTCCTGTTCCCCCCACCCCCAAATTTACACCTTTAGTTTCTTTTATCTTTAGCTCTATCTCTGATCTGTTTTAAGATAACTTTTATATATGATTTGGGGTCAGAGACTAAACTCATTTTTTACTAATTTAACTAGCATCATTGGTTGAAAAAGCTATCCTTTTCCCACTGAATTGCTTTGGCATCTTTGAAAAATCAATAGGTCAGGAATATAAGAATTTTTGGACTTCCAGTTCTGTTTCATCATCTGTATTATCTGTTCTTATGCCAGTACCACACTGTCTTTAGCTCAGAGAACAGTTCTAATGATCCCAGATGAGAAGCTGGGAGGAAAGGAGTACAGAGAAAGGGGAAAATAAATACCTCAATCCTCCGTTTGGCTTTGTCATAAGCCCTTTCTTCTTTAGTTCGATCATCATCAGAGTCGTATTCAGATTCTGAACTCATTTCTTTACTTGGTTTTTTATCTAACATTTTCCCTGCATCCTTCTCGTCGGACACCTTTTCATCTTCTTCATCACCTTCACTGCCTTCACTCTCTCCTTCCTCTTCCTCTTCCTCTTCACTCTCATCTTCTTCACTCTCTTCTTCCTCCTCCTCCTCTTCCTCCTCAGGATTTTCTTTTACTTCTATATGCACCGTGTTTTCTTCTTTCAGGAAAAAGAGATTTGAAAGTTAAAAATGGAGATTTCCATCAACATTATAGAGACCTTAAAGGGAAAAATACTACTAAGGGTGCACGAAGTATGGCAGTAATATTATAAAACATCATGAATGCTAAACTGTTTTCATGCATCATAAATGTAAAGCATTGGTCACATATTTGCTACAATGCAGACTGCCATTTAACAGTAAAAACTTAATATGTTACTGATCCAGGCTATAAGACAGAACAAGAACCAAGGGGGGGCGGAACACAACACTTAAAATTTCTTTCAGTTGGGGTCATTTGCCAATTCTGCACTTGATCTCAGCCAAAAGCCTGAGAAGCAATGGCCATTCGGAGGAGGCAGCTTAAAGGTGAAGCAGTGCTTAGGGGTCCAGGCACTGGGTCTATTAAAGACTCAAGGGGACAAGGTGGAAAGACATTGGGTAAAATTCTTATTGTGGAATGAAATCCCAAAGAACTGAACACTAGCAGTTAGAATGAATAGGTAATAAACAGGACCTCCCCATTATTGGCCAATCACCTCCAGATTCTATCAATTCTAAATCTAGAATAAGATGATTCAATATTGCTAGTTCATTCAGACTCCTGGTGGATGTACACATAAATTCTCTCTGGAGAAAGAAAAACACCATACCTGATGTCAAATCAGTCCTACAGTTTTACAAGTATAATATCCAGCACAATATATGAAAATAACAAGCCACGTGGAAAAATTATGTACATGATGGAAGACAGCAAGCCCCCAAATGAGGGATGCCTGGGGCGCTCAGTTGGTTGAACATCCAACACTTGGTTGGGCTCAGGTCATGATCTAAGGGTCATGAGATTGAGCCCTGAGTTGGACTCTGTACTCAGGGGGAGTCTGCCTGAGATGCTCTCTGCCCCTCCCCCCTTACACTCCCTAAAATAAATGGTCTATTAAAAAATTTGAAAAATGACTATGTTTCTAACATCTAGGGAGCAAAAGATGAAAAAGTTTAGAAAGTAGAAACCTATAAAAAATAGTTAAATAGAGTATCTAAAACTAGAAAATACTGGAAACAAAACTAAGAACCCAAAAGCTGGGTTTAACAGGGGAGTAGAAACAGCTGAAAGCTAGTGAACCAGAAGACAGATAAGAAACACTCTAGAATGAACCATGGAGACTCAATTAGGTGGAAAGCATGAAAAGAAATGAAACAATGATATAGTAAGAAGACATATCATAGACATAACTAGAATCCCTGAGGAGAATAATGGCTCATAACACTGCAAAATCGATAAAAACATAAAACCATGCATTGATAAAACTCTATAGGCAAAATTAATAAAAGAAAATTGACCCTGGCCACATCATACTAAAACTGCTGAAAACCAAAGGCACATGAAAACTTTAGGTTGATATCTGACTTCTCAACAGAAACAATGAAAGGTAACACAATGGAATAATATCTTCAAAATGTTAAATAGAATTTCAGCAAAGAAGAGGAGGAACAAGATGGCGGAGGAGTAGGGACCTAAATTTCGTCTGGTCCCAGGAATTCAACTAGATAGGGATCAAACCATTCTGAACACCTACGAACTCAACAGGAGATCGAAGAAAAGAATGACAGCAACTCTCTGAACAGAAAAGGAACCACTTTCTGGAAGGTAGGACGTGCGGAGAAGTGAATCCAAGGTGATATAAGGGAAGACAGACAGCAGGGGAGGGGGCCTCCGTCAGCCACTACTGGCAAGTGATACAGCAGCGGAGCACTAAATCGGAACTTTTAAAAGTCGGCTCCGCTGAGGGACGTCGCTCCAGTGGCTAAGCTGGGGGTGGAACCCTCGCTGGGACAGTGTGGTCTCAGGGCCCTCAGGGTCACAGGAAGACTGGGGGTGTCTGAGTGTGGCAGAGTTCCGAGGTATCGGAGCGGGGAAGCCGGCTGCAGAGACGGAGCCGAGGAGCGGGCTCTCAGCTCGGAGTTGCCATAAACCGTGATCCGCAGCACAGTCAGGCCACTGCTCCTCCAGCAGGGACCCAACAAGCGGCAGATCCAGGGAGACTCCCCTTCCTCCCCCAGGAGGAGCGACGCAGGAGCACACTGCAGGGATCTGCTGGGTTTGGAGCCTCCACACGGGGTCGTGCCAGAGATAGAAACGCTTGGTCACAGGCCGGGTGAGCATGGAGTGGGGCCGGAGACCGGGGAGACGGAAGTGAAAGACTGCTTTTCTCTGGGGGCACACTGAGGAGTGGGGCCTGAGCTCTTGGGTCCTCCAGGGCGGAGACTGGAAGTCCACCATTTTCAGTCTCGTCCTCCAAAGCTGTACGGAAAGCTTGCAGGGAACAAAAGCTCCAGAGAGCAAACCCGAGCAGATTACTTAGCCCGGCCCCTGGCAAGGGCAGGGCACTTCCGCCTCCAGAAAAGACATTTGAGAACCACTGCAACAGGACCCTCCCCCAGAAGATCAGCAAGAACAGCCAGTGAAGACCAAGTTCACTCACCGATCAATGAGAACAGCAGAACTCCAGCACTAGGGGAATACAGCACACAGAATTGATGGCTTTTTTTCCCCATGATACATTAGTCTTTCAAAGTTAATTTTTTAGTTTTTTTCTCTATTTTTTTTTAATTTGTCTTTTTCTGTTTTTCAACCAACATCTTATCAATCCCTTTTTTTTAAACCTTTTTAGAGTCATACTCTATCACTTCATTGTAGTTAACCTTATTTTGTGTGTGTGTGTGTATATATATATATATATATATATATATATATATAAGTTGTTCTCTCTTTAAAATTTTGGGATACAATATGTTTCTTCTAAGAGACCAAAATATACCCTAAATCTCTAGTGTATGGCTTTGTTCTAGTCTCCTGCCTGATCACATTCTCTCCCTTTTTTTTATTTAATTTCTCTTCTTTTTTTTTCTTTTAAAGATTTTATTTATTTAGGAGAGAGTGAGAGAGAGTATGAGAGGACAGAGGGTCAGAGCGAAAGGCAGACGCCCCACTGAGCTGGGAGCTGGATATGGGACGCCGGGATCATGAACTGAGCCGAAGGCAGTTGCTTAACCAACTGAGCCACCCAGGCGCCCTCTCTTCTTTCTTTTCTCAACCAACTTATCAAATCCTTTTATAAAATCTTTTATAATTTTCATCTTTACACTCATATTCCATCCCTTCATCGTATTTACCCTTATTTTTGTACATAAGATTTTCTTTCCTTAAAATTTTGGGAGGTAGTTTCTTCTAACAGACCAAAATATGCCCAAAATCTAGTGTGTGGCACTGATCTATTCACCAGCCTGATCATATTTCATCACTTTTTTTTTCTTTTTCTTTCCCTTTCTTTTCCCTAAATCTTGTGATTGCTTTAGTGTATATTTTTCTGGGATCATTGTTACCCTGTTAGCATTTTGTTCTCTCATTCATCTGTTCTCCTCTGGACAAAATGACAAGACAGAAAAACTCACCTCAAAAGAACAAGAGGCAGTCCTGGCTGCCAGGGACCTAATCAATACAGACATTAGTAGGATGTCGGAACTAGAGTTCAGAATGACAATTATAAAGATACTGTCTAGGCTTGAAAAAAGCATGGAAGATACTAGAGAAACCCTTTCTGGAGAAATAAAAGAACTAAAATCTAACCAACTCTAAATCAAAAAGACTATTAACGAGGAGCAATCAAAAATGGAGGCTCTAACTCTAGGATAAATGACGCAGAAGAGAGAATTAGTGACATAGAAGACAAAATGATGGAGAATAAAGAAGCTGAGAAAAAGAGATAAACAACTACTGGATCATGAGGGCAGAATTCGGGAGATAAGAGATACCATAAGACGAAACAATATTAGAATAACTGGGATCCCAGAAGAAGAAGAAAGAGAGAGAGGGGCAGAAGGTATATTGGAGCAAATTATAGCAGAGACCTTCCCTAATTTGGGGAAGGAAACAGGCATCAAAATCCAGGAGGCACAGAGAACCCCCCTCAAAATCAATAAAAATAGGTCAATACCCTGACATCTAATAGTAAAACTTAGGAGTCTCAGAGACAAAGAGAAAATTCTGAAAGCCGCTCGGGAGAAGAGATCTCTAACCTACAATGGTAGAAACATTAGATTGGCAACAGACCTATCCACAAAGACCTGGCAGGCCAGAAAGGACTGGCAGGATATATTCAGAGCACTAAATGAGAAAAATATGCAGCCAAGAATACTATATCCAGCTAGGCTGTCATTGAAAATAGAAGGAGAGGTAAAAAGCTTCCAGGAAAAACAAGAACTAAAGGAATTTGCAAACACGAAACCAGCCCTACAAAAAAATACTGAAAGGGGTCCTCTAAGCAAAGAGAGAGCCTAAAAACAACATAGACCAGAAATGAACAGAGACAATATACAGTAACAGTCATCTTACAGGCAATACAATGTCACTAAATTCATATCTTTCAATAGTTACCCTGAATTTAAATGGATTAAATGCCCCAATCAAAAGAAACAGGGTATCACAATTGGATAAAAAAAACAAATAGGAACCATCAAATGCTGTCTGCAAGAGACTCATTTTAGACCCAAAGTCCCCTCCAGATTGAAAGTGAGGGGGTGGAAAACCATTTACCATGCTAATGGACACCAAAAGAAAGCTGGGGTGGCAATCCTTCTATCAGACAAATTAGATTTTAAACCAAAGACTGTAATAAGAGATGAGGAAGGACACTATGTCATACTTAAAGGGTTTATCCAACAAGAAGATCTAACAATTGTAAATATCTATGCCCCTAACATGGGAGCAACCAATTACATAAGGCAATTAATAACAAAAGCAAAGAAACACATCGACAACAATACAATAATAGTAGGGGACTTTAACACGCCCCTCACTGAAATGGACAGATCATCTAAGCAAAAGATCAACAAGGAAATAAAGGCTTTAAATGACACACTGGACCAGATGGATTTCACAGATATATTCAGAACATTCCATCCCAAAGCAACAGAATATACATTCTTCTCTAGTGCCCAT